GCTATAGTACATCGGACGAAGGGGAGAGCTCGGTGACGTTGGATAGCATGTCATGGGGAGACAACAACGAAAGTGCAGACCAAGAAGCTTTGAATGACTTGAACAGATCTACTTTTCTTGATTTTTTCTTAATTTTTTGGTGTGTTTTCGAAGAAAGGGTTGTGTGTCTAATAGACAACTTATAAGTGCATTGTCTGTATTTGTTAGTAAGACTCGTGAAGTTGTCTGTCATTTGCTTGTTAGTTATCTGTATTTGTTTTGAGTTGTCTGTATTTGTTTTGAGTTGTCTGTCATGTTGTTGTGAGAAGTCTGTAAGAGTCGTGAAGTTGTATGTCACTTTAAAAATACATGTATGTAACTCATATTTAGTTGTTTGTCATTTGATTGTGAGTTGTATGTAATTTGTGGTTTGTATTTTTTGAGATGTACAGACAACTTGTAAGTGTGGTGTCTATATACTCAAACACGGTTTCATAGTTGGTGAAATCTTGAAATAAAATGTTTGTCGCACAGACAACTCATTTGTTTGTCTACATAGAAACATTATTTGTATGCACATGCAAGTATTGGCACAACTGTATTTAATAGTACATTTCAATGAGTTTAGTAATTATTAATGTAGTTATATAAAAGTGTTTGGACATATGGTTGTATTTGTTAATGACAGATGATTTTGGTGAAAACAAAAACATGTATACTATATTGTCTGTGTTGACAGACAAAATAATGTGATGTGTTTCGTAGTGTTTTGAGCATGTGTATTTATTTGGAATAATAGATGGAGAGAAATAATATGTTGTGATTAACACTTCTATTTAGTTTTGAATGAGCCATTTTTAAAAGGTGAACATTAATTTCCTGTATTAACGCAAAGTGTGAATGATGAGGTTGGATTGAAACATTAGTTTGTTGTGAATTAACATTGTTGGCATTAACTATACACATACAGACATTACTTTATTGTGAATTACCATTTTGACATATGTTTCATAAAAAATACAGACAATACATATATCTAGACAGTTAATAGAGATAACCAGACAGACATTATTTTAATAGACTTATAAACTTTAACCAATCTACTTCCAAAGACAACTTTGAAGACAACTAATTACATCTCAAAAAATACAAACCACAAATTGCATACAACTCACAATCAAATGACAAACAACTAAATATGAGTTACATACATGTATTTTTAAAGTGGCAGACAACTTCACGACTCTTACAGAATTCTCACAACAACATGACAGACAACTCGAAACATATACAGACAACTCGAAACAAATACAGACAACTCAAAACAAATACAGACAACTAACAACCAAATGTCAGACAACTTCACAAGTCTTACTAACAAATACAGACATTGTACTTACAAGTTGTCTGTTAGACAGACAACCCTTTTTTCGAAAACACACCAAAAAATCAAGAAAAAAATCAAGAAAAGTATATCTGCTCAAGTCATTTAAAGCTTCTTGGTCTGCACTTTTGTCGTTGTCTCCCCATGTCAAGCTATCCAACGTCACCGAGCTCTCCCCTTCATCCGATCTAATGTAGCATTGTAGCTCTTGCATTTGAAACGAAAAAAAGGCAGAAGAGGAGAGAAGCAGGAGAAGAAGCTTGGAGGGAGAAAAGATTGTAAAAATGGGAAGAAAATGGAGAAGAAATCAAGATTTTGAAAAAAGAGAAAGAAAGGAAAAGGGATGGGAGGGGGCTGCGTGAAAAGAAAAGATGGAGGAAAGAGGGAGGGAAGGAGAAGAAAAGTGGGGGAGGGGGAGGGTATTTATATGGGGTAGAAAATGGGGTAAATTTGGAATACCTATGGCAAAATTGAAAAGGGATAGAGGTGATAACTTTTTGCATGGATTTGTAATTAAGAATTAACTAACTAATTGAAAGTTTAAGAGTGTACATTTGATCATATCGCACCACTTTTTAACCGTTTGTTTTTACGAGATTGTTTGTTCGTCATTAATACTCTCTAAAACAATCAAACTCCTCACACAATTTCCCCATGTGACATTTTCCAATTAAAAAAATCAATAGAAAAGAGACTATGATTATTTTTAATAGGCATGTCTAAAAATGCACAACTTTTTAATACAACAAGAATAGTTGCTCACTCACAAAACAATGTTTTTACTTTGATTGAAATTTGTTGGTGTAATCTGGTTTGGTCTGATCTTGTCTGGTCTGGTAAATATTTAGTCTCTGTGTATTTTACAACTATTCAAGTCTGGTCTAAGACTGAAAACAGTCAATAAAAACATCTTAACTCAATTTTTTAATTATCGAAACCAATAAAAAAATAATTGTTAAAAATAATAAAATACCTATGAGCAAATATGTTCAAAGAATGTCTAAGACGTGGTGCGTTACTTGTATGAGGGGTGATCAATTTTGACAGTTACTTTATGAGTGATTCCTGCTCGAATTAGTAACACAAGTTGCTACAGGATGTTATATTGTTTTTTAATTGCTATAGAAGACACTTTTTGAGACATAAATATGTGGCTCTATCGGTGGTTTGTCTTAGAGGTCATCTTTTTTCTCAAATCGTCTATGGCGCTATCGGTGGCTCGTCTGCCTCCGGAATCATCACCATTGATTGAAAAAGTGATTCTATATTTTTATCAGACTAATGCGCTTCAGATAGGAATAAAAGTCATCGATGTTGTATCGGACGCAACATTACTACAAGTTTATTGGAATCAGACAAGGGCACTACGACTACATGATTGGACAATGATGACTAATTTCAACTAGGGATGTCAAAAAAAAAGGCCCGCAAGGACCCGCCCTGGCCCGAGACATTTGGGGCAGGTCTGGCCCGCCCCGTCTTGCAAATGGGTCCACCCCGCCCCGCCCCGCCCCGCTCAATATTGAAGTATATACATACTTTTTCTTAAATTATACAATAAATATATTTCAACATACATATGTGTATACAATAAATCATAAATTCTTTGATCTTATAATATAGGGAGATTTCCCAAAAGAGGAGTAAATGGAGTTTGAAATTCCAAAATAGGACTACTATGTTTTTATTCCCGAAATAGGACTAACATGACAGTATCATTGTCATCTTGTAGGCGTGACTGTTAAATAATTGCATCATAGTGCATTTAGCATGACAATATTTTTTATAATTAATGGCAGTATTTTTTAATTATGGAAGTATTTTTCATACATGGCAGTAAAAACTCTTATTTCCGGGAAAAAAACATAGTAGTCCTATTTTGGAATTCCAAATCTCATTTAATCCTATTTAGGGTAATTTCCCTATATATATGGAGCGGATCAGGTGAGAAGTGCCCTTAGGCTGAGAAGCTGTGAAGTCTAACTTATAAGCTAAAAATACAAACTTTTAATCAATAAATCATAACTTATAGACCTCCTCGAGAATAATTACGAAAATGCCACCGCGTCCAAATAACTCCAGAAACCTGGAAAAAAATTTGACGCAGTGGCATTTCCGTAATTAAGATGGAGAGTTTTATAAGTTATGATTTATTGGTTATAAGTTACTATATTCAGTCTATAAATTTGTTGTGTTGTAAGATTAGATGCAAATCCAAGGACTGAGATTACTTCTCACTTCTCATCGTAAGGAGGACTTCTCACCTGATCTTCTCTCTCTCTCTCTCTCTCTCTCTCTCTCTCTCTCTCTCTCTCTCTCTCTCTCTATATATATATATATATATATATATATATATATATATATATATATATATATATATATATATACATACACACACACACACACGATAGTATATAAAATTGAGATGAACGACGGATTATCAATGTCTTCTTTATATATAGCATTTTAATACATATATTCAAATATTAATATAATTAAATAGATTAACTATTCAAGTCTAAGTGATTCTTCCTTAACTTTTGAAATTTCTAGCGTAAAGTGAATTTGATTTAATATATTAATTTTTAATAATTATTTAAAGATAAACTTTATTTAGATTCAATTGGTAACAACTTCTCACAAATAAAAATACATACTAGCTAATTTAGGTTGCGGCAGGATGAGGTGAGACAGGTCATGGGCAGACCCACCTCATCAAGTCACGGGGCGGGTCTGGGTCTTGCAGTACCCGCCCTACCCCGACCCATTGTCATGCCTAATTTCAACGGTATTCACAATTTTACTTATTTATGCCTTTTATTATTTGTTCATTCGTTTTTAATTTTTTAAAGAAATTGTAAGTTGTTCATATCAAGTTATAATCATAGAGATCGACATGAGCAAATTAAACATCCATTTGTCCATTACATGATCAACGACTTTTGCGTAGGGATTGGACTAAATCGGACCGGTCCAGCCCGGAACCGGCCCGTTACTGTTTGGGCCCGGACAGGACCGGGACCGGTTGTCCAGTTCCGGGCTTTTAGCCCGTTTGGGCAGGTCAGGCAGGCCGGGCTCGGGCTTAACTTTTGGTGAACTGGCCCGGGCGGTTCGGGCCGGGCCCGATTCAATTTTTTTTTGTTTTTTCAATTTTTTTTTGCTTTTCTAGGTTAGGGTTGGGTGTTTTGGGGGTCGGGTGTTAATTAGAAACCAAAAAAAAAATGAACTTGACCCGAGCCCGGCCCGACCCAACCCAGTTAGGCCCGAACCCGTATCAACCCGGGCCGGTTCTGGTCCCAACATTTTGCAAAAAAAAGCCCGCCCAGGACCAGCCCGGAACCGGACCAGCCGAGATCCATCCCTACTTTTGCGCCTCATTTTTGGATGACAAAGTTTAAGTCTAATCATTGGACTTCGTATTGAGCCTGAAATTATCTTGTGCCTATTGTAATGATGTTTGATTTATTAATTTCAATATAAGCATTTTCCATAAAAAAACTATTCGATAAATATTATTAGGTATAGTGAGAAAGATATAATGTTTGGTAAAATGTTTGTAAAATGAGAAAGATACTCTTGCAAAAAAAATGAGTAGGGACTCTTAAAAAAATTTTGGTAAAGTGAGAAAGATATAATGTTTGGTAAAATGTTTGTAAAATGAGAAAGATACTCTTGCAAAAAAAATGAGAAAGATATACTCATACATAGATACCCTACTTAAAAGGATGGAGGAATTTGAATGTATTTATTATACCCAAGCATATAACTTTGTGAACTTTAAAATGAAAATAAAAAGAATTGAGAAATGGAGGTTTTCCGGCTACATATTCGTTGCTCTATGAGATTCAAAATCTGAGAAATCAGGGTTACCCTGCCCAAAAGATGAAGAATTGTGCGCGTAAGTATCAACAGCCCTATCATCCGCCATCGTCATCTGTCCACTTTCCCTTCCCTTAAAGCTTTCCACAGGCGGTGAAACCCAAGGACCTTGGGGGTTTGATAACATATTTGAGCTACTTGAAACATCCGGGATTGAGTTTTGTGGATTCTGATTTTGGGGCGAATTTCCAGATGGTCTCTTGTTGTTTGAAGTAGCCGGTGTCAGAGAAACTGCAACCGACTGTTGTTGCTGCAGTTGCTGCTGGTTCTTCATAGGGGATTTTGGTCTGAGGGACTCTATTTCCGGGGTTGTCACGACCAGATGAGGTGTGTCTGGTGGTGGGTTTCTTCCTCCCCCGCCTTGCCAAACTTTTCCATCCTTGTCAGCAAAATTTCGTACATATGCCTGAGTGTTTTGAAACGTATTAGTCAACACTAATGGTGGGTGAAAAAATGACTATATAACAGGGCTATATACAACAGGAAGGCATCTAACAGTGAGAAACTTTCTGCACATGAAGTCGGGGTATGTTAAGATCCTGCAAAATGGTGTGCAGGGGAGGGAGGGACAAATTGCAAAGGAATGTTTCTTGTGTTTCATTGTAGCTCAGAAAAAGCAAAGGAAAATGAAACATGCTTAAAAATAATAATTTGTTAGATATGTTTAAATTTATCAAGTTTTATGTTGAAGTACAGATAAAACAGTTACTTTCCTTCATTTTCTTTCCACCCAAATTTCCCTTATATTTTCATCTGTTTTCTTTCCCTGGCGTTTTCTAGGGTTGCTTGGATCCTGGAAACTACTAGAAAAAGAAAATAGAAAAGAAAACCTAGAGGATCATCATCATTTATCCCAGTGCCGCAAAGGCTCCCACCAACGGTGGGGTAAGGGGTTGGATGTACGCAGTCTTACCCCTGTCCTAAAGCAGGGAGAGACTGTTTCCGAATGACCCATAGTGAAAATCACGTCCAAAATCGCATGGACTGACTGCTGCTTCATAACAAAGAAGCGTAGACAGTTTAGTGAGTCATTTTGCTTTATTCCATCATATTCTCAAGCCAATAAATAGTGAATCTTTGGCTTCATTGCAAATGATGGAAAGAAAACCTAGAGGCTAATTAGAAGAAAATAACATGTTGGCAGAAATATAACTATTAATCAAGATCGAGAAATTATTCTTGATTTTTGTTCAAACTCATTTTATTTATCCATAACTATTATGTATACTCATGACTAAGAATTCAACATGTAAGATAAACAAAAGAAAAACTTCCATTGACATTTTCTTTCATTTTCAAGCATCTCAGGTAGTCGGGTGAATCCTTAGAATAGAACAATTGACTGTTAAAAGTTCGTTGACAGCAGCCACAAACCCCTGTAATATTCTTCACTAACCAAACCAGCAAATTACTCCTTAATAATAATTTGCTGCATTGTACCTCAGAATTAAAATTTGATGAAGATAACCCCTTGCCAACAGTTAGCCAGCCAGTTCGAATATTATGGTCTTCACCAAAGAGCTCAAGCCTTCTTCGTCCGAGAGCAAAATGCTCAACTATTTTATACATATCTTCAGGCTTTGCAGTGGAACCTACATTCAAATTTGCAAATAACTTTCTAAATAGTATATCCAATACCAGCGAAAGCATGAAAGGTCGCATTTTATGATGCCAGAAACTTACTAAAAATACTATGCTCTGTCCATGACTAATCACTGAATAAAGTGAATTTTATTGGACATTTTACAGCAGCATGATCCTTTATGAATATTCAATGCCAGAAAAATGTGGTGCACCATATATTTAGCTAAATACTACCCAAGAATTAGCTGACAATTTACAAGATTACAATAGTCCCTTCTTCATGTTTGTTCTTTAAGCAAATCATAATGAGAACAGAATGAAATATAATTATATTCAATGTCTCATAAGAGGCATTCTTTTAAAAGTGAGGCAACCAGTCATTTCATCTCAAACTTGCTAAATTACACTTCCTGAAGTTAAACTTGCTTCAATAAAAAATAAGCAGATATTCAGTCATGTTCCATTGTTGGCATGTGGAGCGTTTCCTGAAAGCAAGTGAAAATATTATATGATGAAGATGATTTTGAATTTCATCCTTTGTATGGAATATGTTATGAAAGGCATATGACATGACCATAGCCCAGTTTGATCAGGTCAAAAAGGTACAAGTGGCCAAATCTGCTTAATATGCTAAAGTGGTCGCCAGAAATCTGGAATGGCTTAATCAGCTAAGTTATATAGAGAGAGAAATCTTCTCCTCAAGCTGTTCTGACCGGAACCGCATCCGGTTCCCTCCATTTGAGGTGCTTCCGGGTGGAACTTTTTATGGAATTTTGCGAGCTTGGTTTTAAAAGGCACGAGGCGCCTTGAGGCGATTTCTTTGATTTACCCGAGGCGCTAGGCGGTGAGGCGCGCGCCTCACGGATCTCAGCCACATTTCTTTGGTTACATATATTTTTAGTACTTCTACATAAAGCACTCTTCTCAAAAATACTTCAAACTATTAAACAATCTTAATAAACATCATAAGAGAAACAAAATACCCCATCCGTTCTTAAATATGATTCCTCTTAGGCTTTGGCACGGGTTTTAAGAGGAAAATAATAGGGGTAGTGTAAGAGGTGTAGTAGGTTGTGGGTAAATGAAAAGGTAGGAAAGAGAAAGGGATAATGGTAATAAAAGTGGGGGTATAAAGGTATTTTGATTGAAAAAACTTACCAAAAAGGGAAAGAGAGACAAATAATTAAAAATGTCCCAAAAAGGAATGCGAGACAGTTAATAAAGAACGGAGGGAGTATTAATTAAAGACAATAAGACAGAAGCAAGAAATATATGTTTAAAGGCATAATTGCCAAAAGTCAAGTCACAAAACTCAATCTTAAAACTTCAAAACATAATTAGCTTATATAAAACTGTTAAATAATTAACTTATATAACAGTTAATATATAAATTTATATGAACTGTTATTTAATATAAACTCAATCTTTAAATTAATATTAACAGTTTTATATAAGTTAACTATTTAATTTATCACAAAATGACTATTAATTTATAACAGTTTATTACATTAATTATTTAAATTACTAGTCATTCTGTGATAAATTAAATCATTAAGTTATATAAAAAATGTTAATAGTAATTTCAATAATTAATGTAACAAACTGTTATATAAAAAAGTGTTAAAAAATGTTAATAATAATATCTATCAAAACTTATAAATAGCGAAAGATAATACTACATATGTATCAGTTATCTAACTTTTTATTTAAAATAATTTTAATATTTTTATAAATATAAGAACTTAAAATAAAAAAGAATAAATAGCAGAAGATAAAAAAAAGACTTACCTCGCAGAAGTCGGAATAATACCAGCGCAAGACAGGAAGACAAAACGCAGAAGGGAATCGCAAGACCAGCACAAGTCCATGAGGCGTCAAAGGCGCTCGCCTCTCAGAAGCGCAAAAGGCGCTAATAAGCGCATAAGGCGCTCGGCTCTGAGACTCTGAGCCTCCTGGGTAAGTTAAAGGCGATAAACCCTTCGCCTGCAAGCGCCTAGCGCCTTTTTTTAAACTAAGTTTGTGAGGATGTTCTTCTTGAAGTGTAGATCATATGTCCACAAAATTTCACTTTACAATTCAATCGGGAAGTCAGTTAAATAAATTATTGAAAAACATCGCGTTTTTTATACTATTTGTTTTGGCATAGTGTTTTTCAATAATTTATTTATCTGACTTCCTGATTGAATCTTAAGGTGAAATTTTGTATACATAATCTACACTTCATAAAGAACATGCTCTCAAAATTCCATCAAAAAAATTCCACCCTGAAGTGCCTCAAATGGAGGTGGTCGGACAGCATTCCAGGCAGGACGGCCTAAGTAGAAGATTACTATAGAAGATAACTGCGCTAAATTATACTCGTACATTTAAAACGCAGTTATTTTCAAAATTTTATTTGGATGTCTTCCCGATTGAATTTTTAGCTGATTTTTTTTGTGGATAAACTAGACTTATGAGGAACATGCTCAAAAAAAATCATCAAAAAATTCACCGATCCTGTCCCTCCGGCTAAACATGATATTTTCCATATACACACACACTTCTCTTTCTCCCTCTTCATATGTCCTAGTTTCCTTTTTGACATGTCCTAAAATGATGTCCACTTCATAATGCAAACAGCACTAACATTTTTTCCCTTCAAACACCACTAACTTCGATCTCCCTTACTTTTTGAAATGGTTTGACACAATTGGTCACACTTGAATAGTTGAGTGACAGTTTGGGACAAAGAATTAAATTTTACTTCTTTTCCTTACAAACCATGTGTCCACGCTAAAAGCAAATTGACCATATATTTGAAACTCTAGGAGTATTTAAACCTGAACGTAAAAATTTATTTTCTTTAATTTCAGCCACAAAAACAACTCTTCCACTAGTTTTTTTCATTATAAGCTGATTAGTCAATTCAGCAGCAGTGCAGCACATGAATTTAAAACTAATCAGTGGTTAGAGAAAAACCTTTGATGATGCTGATAGAAGCCAATATATTTATATATACAATGGCTCTAAGTTAATGAAAACTATATTTATGTCACCGTCCAGGCATTGAAGATAAGGAGGAGAAAAACAATCGGAAGTTCTGTTAAATAAATGATATCAATGAAGCTTACAAAAATTCAAGATACAATGTACTATAAGGTTTAAGAGTGATCAGAGTCAACAATACCCACCATATGGAGGCTCCTCAGCAATAATTACATCAGTGTCAATATTAGCATGAATTATATGGCCATCTGTACTTCGACGCACAGTTCCCTTGATTCCCATCAAGCAGTGTTCCTATAACAAAAATGGAATCTAACTCTCTTCAGAAAGTCACACATGCGAGCGCATATTCTCATTTCGCATTATAGTGCAGAGCAAAAACGGTAGACAATCAGGAAAATATATTAAATAATTTAAAAGTAAACTATAATGCAGAAAATGACACCTTTGAACGCTGAAGTAGAGTATGTGAATCATGTCTCAATCCTGGAGTGGCATTTGTTTTATTTGTTTTGACCCAACATATATCTTCACACCGGCGAAACCCCCACTACATGAAACAGATAAGAATAAATTAGCATTAAAATAAACAGGGCATCCTATCCTATCAGACCCAAAACAAAACGAAAGAGGATTGGCATTGAGGGAAAAGTGACGGGAAAAACACAATCTTCCAAACACAAGGGTTCAGGAACCCGAACAGGTTGACCAGGTGAGATGAGGGAGTTTAGGTAAGTGGTCTTACCGCTGGTGCGGTTCAACCATTTTGAATACAATATATTTATATGACTAAATTAAACATGATATATTAGTGCAAATGCATACTCTTAAAATAAGTTATTAACTACCATAGTGTTAAATATCAAAATAAAATAATACAATATTACATGTCATGAGTCTACTTTCTACAAAAGAAACATGCAGATTGAATAGATTAACTTTTTCAAACACCAAACAAACATTAAATATGGTTGCATTTGAATATAATTATAAAAAGTGATCATAATGACAAAAAAATGAGGAAAAAAATTAAAGATCCCATTTTTGTCAATGTTTAAAAACTAAATTTTTATGACTAGTCAACCAGTATTCAGTAACCCGTTAGCAATTCAACAGGTTTTCCGGTCCGCCCAGGATAATTACTGGTTTGATTTCCAAGTCAAGTAAGGCCGCTTAACTGCATAATAACTGAACAGGTCCACCAACTGATGCCCAATTTTACGGGACCAACCGGTCTGGTCAGCTGATTTCCAAGAAACACCAACCACCACAAAAGGAAGGAGAAAGATGTAGAAGTCCTAGCAGAAGAATCATTTGTACTAGTTTTAATTAGAGATACCTTCTTCAAACATTGGCGTCCCTGCTCAAGCCCAAGACCATCACCGACCCAAAGAAAAATAAATGATGGTGTATCTGCAACAGCCTGCAAGAAATTGGATTAAAAAACTAACCACTACTGAAAGAGGGCAAGAACGGGGGCTAAAATGTGTTGATCAAACAGCAGTACAAATAAATGGAGGGACTTGAATGTTCAACATCCATAAAATTACTAGTCTGTATCAATGAGCACGCAAATAAGAAATTTTGCTTACTTGAACATAACACATTTCCAAAAGACACACACACACAAACCGTACAAAAAAATGACTTGTTTCAACCCCCCCCCCCCCCCCCCCCAATGAGCCCACTTTGATCAAACGACGATTGATTTCATTTAATCTGTCAAAAGGTTGACAGACAAGAGTCACAAACTACTTATATACTCCGTATAATAAATTTAGTTAAACCAACAATTTAGGTCTATATTACTACCTGTGTTCTTAAATAGTTGCAACACATGAAATTGTACACTATTCATGTGCTCAACTTTGACTATATTACTATATTTTATTTACGAATGCATTAAAATTTTATTTTTAAAAAATATAAATTAAATATTTCTCATTTTAAATTTTAAAAAAGTGATTTAAAAAAATACAAATAGGGAATTAAATATATTAATGATCAAATTTGTGCGTTGGCAAACATGAAAATGGAAGTGTTGCAACTAAAAACGAATGGAGGAAGTACATAATTGATCATGAGATTGAGTCTGAAATTGGGCCAGAATTTAAAGAACGGACAAAAATACCTTTCTTATTTAGGGCTAAATATATGTTAGGGCTAAGGACTAAATTTGGGTTAGTCAAGAACCAAAATGAGTCCAATAAAAAGTTGAGGACCCAATAAATTAAGTACACAATTATGCATAGTGATATAGTCAAGTGATTAAATGAAGTATAAACTCTAAAGTAAATAATCCTAGTAATAATTGGCAGATCATAGTGAATGTACCACATTATGATTTTTACCTCAATCTTGAGATTCATTATTTCTTCAAACTTCCAGTATTCCATATGATCAGTGACACCAGGAGCTCGGTGAACATATTCCTCCCATGGGGGGTCCACAAGAATGACGTCAAACTTCGTACCGAAGAACTCCGGGGAGAGTTCCTGTTCACGCAAGTCACATTTGTAATACATAGGTGTAGAAGCAACTTTGGCCACAATCTCATCCTTCTTTTGTAGCAGCTCTCTTAACTTAGGGTAGTCCTCAACCACACTGGTCAGCTCGAGTTCCCGGATGAAATTTTGTGGCCTCATTCCAGTGTCCACAAAATTTTGTGAGTAGTCATTCTGCTCGCCTCTCGAAGGAGCCTTGCCAGGTGGTGCATTAGTCCTAGGCGGAGGAGGAGGGACCCACCCTCCAGGAGACGATTTATTATCCGGTATTTGTCCACGTCCAACTGGCATCAAAGTGTTAAAATTAGGAGGAGCTCCTCTTACAGGTCCTGCAGGGTGATTGTAATAGATTCCAGGATTAGGAGGGTTTCCCATATTGTGTGGGAACCTGAGCCCTGAAGGTCCAGGTGGAACTCCAGGCCATACCATAGGAGGTGAAAACTGTGGAATAAAGACACCTGGGGAAATTGAAGGAGTGGGTGATATGTTGGAGTTTAACGGTGGGGTCATCCCAAGCGGTCCGAAAGGTGGTCCCACCATCGGCATTTGAAGACCTGATTGATGATGATTGTTATCTCTCCCACCTGTGGGCCTCCCCCTTCCCCCCATTCTCCCATGTCTAACCCCTCCTCTGCCACTCTGAGAAACGGCTCGATTGAAGGAAGAAGGGACCTGGTGAATCTGTGAGGTAATCTCATCCCTAAATCTCTCGCCTTGAGATTCAATCTCATCTCTCTTAGGGTTCTGATTTACTGAAACGGGCCCAGCACCATCACCTGGTATATTATCTTTGTTAAGGTCTTCACCAGGCTGCCCAGATCCATCATTAATATTTCTCCCCCTTTCATCAATTGAAACCGATGAAGGTTTATTATTATTATCATCTCTGCTGACATAATCGAAAGGTCGTGTTTGTATCTCTATAACGTCATAGTTTTCATTAGAGATTCCGAACTTGGAAGAGGTCTTTACGGCTTCAGTCCTAATTCCATCTTTTCTACCCCCTGACCTGGGTCTCTCATTGTCAATCCAACTTCGTCTGGGCAGTTCCCACTCCCTTCCGTGGTCATAAGACGAATCGCTTTCCTTAGTTTCCTTTTCAGAAAAGTTTCCTTGTCTTCGTTTCCAACCATCTCTCGTCCAACCATCATCCCTTCCTTTAGTTGATCTGTCATCCTTGTATCCGTCCTTATCCTGTTCTTTCCTCCTGACGGGCCCCATGCTTCTATCATAGTCTGTTTCAATATTTTCTGGGTCATAATAACGCTTTCCACTTCTTTCTTCGTCTGGGGCTTCAAATCTGCCTCTCTTTCCCCTGTCATATTCAGTCCTTCTATCCTCTCTGCTCTGTGATTTACTATCTCTGTGACCATCAAATACAGGGTCTAGTGTTCTCAAACTTCTAGTATCAATGATTTCTACATGGTCAGCCTCATCAACTTTTTTAGTGGTATCTGGTTCATCCCATCTTCTCCTAGGATTACGTCCATGCTCGGATGTTCCTTGGGATTTTTCTTTAATGTTCTCCCTTCTCTCATCAATAATGCCCTTATTTCTGATTTGAGAACTATCATTATCGGGGAATTTTGATATTGATCCCACAGATTTGTCTAGATTGTTGTTATACTTATTGTTCTCAATTTCTCCATCTTGGTACCAATTACTCAGCCTCTCCAATGTATTCTCCTCCGGCTTCTTCCTCATAGATAACTTAGAGGTATTATTATTATTATACTCCTTTCTATTATCACATTCATCTTCTTCAATACCACCTGCCCTTTTACGGCTCTCATTTTTGTCAACATTACTTCTCTTTCTTCCACTGCTATCTAATCCCTCGAATTCTTCATTTAATTCAGGTCTTCTAGATTTGATTGACTTGTGTTTTCGTTTAGCATCACCTTCCCAGTCATCCTCATCATCATCTTTGAACATGTCAGTCTTTACATCTAAATCATCTACATCCTGTTTCTTGTAATTCCTTTGCCCTTCTGATGAAGTCATTCAGATGTGATATTCTAAGTAAAATTCCCTCGTTTATTTAACTAACTAAATATCGAACAACGCATGCCGCTCAACTCAACTATATCTCTTTCCTCGGCCAAAACATCACCATGGAAACGAAATATAGTGGAATTAAAGTACAGCTACAACAAACCTGTAGAAAACTGCGACACTCCGGCGTATGGTTGATCGTACACGAGTCAACTGCCTCGGAATCGGCCTGTACACGCAGACTCCGACGGTGCTACTGCTAAGTGATACAAGTGGGGAGATTTTTAATTTTTCAGGCAGCGGTGGGATAAATTAAACAAGCGATAGATGCGCTGGTCGGATACTCGGATTGGTTTGAGATTTTGGGCGCTGAGCGCGAGAGATTGTGAGATTGTCTTCAATCTCTTTAGGGTTTGTTTGCTGGTGTGTTTTTTGTAAATATGTAATATCGCGAGGACTACTGGTAAATACACAATACATATTTATTTATTTACTTATTTATTTATTTATTTTCGTTTACAAAATTTAGGGATGGATTAAGAGAAAATTACAACTAATATTACTAAAAGAGTATGTCTTTCCCGATATATGAGTGTAATACTATTTTTCCTATTCTAGCATCCGTATATTGTGCATGCTGATACGATTGTGGTGCATGCTAGTTCATTTTTCTAATTCTAGCGGTTGTAGATATAGGAAGTTAATAATTCTTCCTATTTGTCCGCATGTGTTTTATCATGAACCCATGTATGTCGTGTTAAATTTGATCATACGATAAGTGTAAAAACATGTGTGGTCATATTTTAGGAAAAGTCTTAAGTTTTACTAATATTGGGGTATTTTTCCCATGGATTAATGATTTTCAAAAAAAAAATACATTGAGGATGTTTTTACTTGGACTGTAATTTGTCCCAGACCAGACCAGACCAAACCAGACCAGACCAGACCAAATCAGTTCAGATCAGACCAGACTTGGATAGTTATAAAAATACAAAGAAACCAGACCAGACCAGTTCAGACCAGACCAGACCAGATCAGAACAGACCAGATCAGACCAGCAAATTACAGTCCAAGTAAAAACATCCTGAGGTTTATGTAGCTGGGAGGAAATAAGGAATTAACTAAAACATGAATTCTTTATTTAAAACCGATAGTTGCAAAGATAGTGGGACAATCCAACAAGAAAGTTGACAAAGTTTTAAGAGATAGGGAGTACAAAATTTTTGTCTAATTGTCTAATTGTGCAATAATAAAATATATGTTGTAAAATGGAATGAAATAAGCAGAAGATCAGGGAAAAAATATAGTATAAACACCTAGTGATAGAGATGTATTGGAGATGTTCTGATGGTGTAATCATGGTGTGTTAATTACAATGGAGAAGACTCCTATTTGTAGGAGAAAAGCTAAGCTTATTAGGATTAGAGGATAATTGTGAACCACACAATTATCATCTAGAATCATAATTATGATTTCCTAATTATTTATACAATGGTGATAATAATTCATAATCAGGAATAGTTGGAATATGACTAATTCAATATATTTCAACACTCCCTGATAGAGTATATGGGTCTAGACCTCATGACTCACATACTTCCACTATTACGAATAGGCCAAACATGCCCAAGTGGACCAAAAATAGCGGCCCCCGAGGACGTACGGGTTTCGGCACATGAAGACCTCGAGGATGTACGGCCTTCAGCACATAACGGTCCTCAGGGACGTACGGCCTTCAGCACATGGAAGACCTCGGGGACGTACGACCTTCAACACATAACGGTCCCCCCGGGGACGTACGACCTTCAGCACTACCTCCGTCAGCCAGACGCTCGTCCCCAGACCTTCGTCTGCCACACCTCCGTCAGCCAGACGTTCGTCTCCCGGACCTTCGTCTGCCACACCTCCGTCAATCAGACGTTCGTCTCTCAGACCTTCGTCTGCCACACCTCTGTCAGCCAGACGTTCGTCGGCCACGGGGGAGCTCACAGAGCCAGACTTCCATACTTGGCTAATGTATTCGAATGTACTCAGTCCAATAGAGGTCTTATATTGTAATGGGTCTCCCAAGCCCAAAACTTGGGAGCTCAGTCCATATTTTCTCTATAAATGCTCCCCTTGGGAGTAGTTGTAAGGGTCGGAAAATTCATTAATTACTCACTTCTCTCTCTAGCTCTCACTTCTCTCTAGAATTTATGTTATATCACCTCCCTTGAATGGTCATCTTCTAATTATTATGGGGTATTAGTATCGTAGTATTATAATGTACTGTCTCGTTAAAAACCTTTGTCAGGAAAAACCCGGTGGGATAAAAACCCGACGAAGGGAAAAATAGTGCAATGCATTATATTACTCCCCTCAATTTAACATATATCTCGAAGATGACACATTCCAATTTTGTGGACCGATTCTTCAAATTTCTTCGGTGCCAATGACTTTGTGAATAACTCAACAGGGTTGTCGTAAGACTTGATTTGTTTGACATCAATTGTTCCTTCTTTCTCAAGATCATGTGTGGAAAAAAGATTTGGTGTTATATGCTTTGTTCTATCCCATTTGATGTAACCTCCTTTGATCTGAGCTATACATGTTGTGTTATCTTCATAAATCACAGTAGGATTACAAGTAAAAGATTTTATACCGCATTCATTTTGTATGTGCTGGATCATTGATCTCAACCAGACACATTCTCGGCCTGCTTCGTAAAGAGCAATTAATTCTGCATGATTTGACGATGTGGCAATTAATGTTTGCTTCATTGATCTCCATGAGATAGCGGTATCACCATAGGTGAATAAATATCCTGTTTGTGATTTTGCCTTTTGTGGATCAGACAAGTATCCTGCATCGGCATAGTCAATTAAAGTGGCATTTGCACCATTCTTAAAATACAATCCAAGATCGATTGTACCATTGAGATAGCGGAATATATGTTTGATGTCATTCCAATGTCTTCTTGTCGGGGAAGAACTATACATGGCTAATAATTTTACAGAAAAAGCAATATCTGGTCGGGTATTATTAGCCAAATAAATATCTGGTCTGGTATTATTAGCCAAATACATTAACGCTCCAATAACACTCAAATATGGTATTTCAGGACCAAGGATTTCTTCATCATCTTCACAAGGTCGAAAAGGATCATCATGCACATTGAGAGATCGAACCACCATTGGAGAAATGAGTGGGTGAGCTTTTTCCATGTAAAACCGCTTCAAAAGTTTCTCGATATAATTTGATTGGTGGATAAGAATATCATTTCTCAAATGTTCAATTTGAATGCCGAGACAAGATTTTGTTCTCCCAAGGTCTTTAATTTCAAATTCTTTCATGAGATATTTAGCTTTATTTTCAATTTCATTGGGAGTTCCGATTATATTCAAATCATCAACATATACTGCAATTATGGCGATTCATGATTCAGATCGCTGAATGAAAACACATGGACTAATAGGATCATTTTTATATCCTTCTTTGATCAAATATTCACTTAGTCGGTTATACCACATGCGTCCAGATTGTTTTAATCCATATAATGACTTTTGCAATTTTATGGAAAATAAATCTCGAGATTTCGAGCTATAAGCATCAGGTATTTTAAAGCCTTCAAGAATTCTCATATATATGTCTGTATCGAGTGAACCATATAAATATGTGGTCACTAGATTCATTAGGCGCATTTGCAGCCTTTCAAAAACAAACATGCCAATTAAAAATCGTAAAGTAGTAGCATCAACTACTGGAGGATACGTTTCATCATAATCGATTCCTCGCATTTGAGAAAAACCTTGGGCAACAAGTTGGGCTTTGTATATAACAATTTCATTTTTCTCGTTGCGTTTACGCACAAACACCCATTTAAAACCTATAGGTTTTACACCTTTTGGCGTGTGGACAATTGGTCCAAAAACATTACACTTTTCTAGCAATTTTAGTTCTACCTGAATCGCTTCATTCCATTTTGGCCAATCGTTTCTACGACGACATTCGTCAATAGATTTAGGCTCATTATCATCATGTTCATTCATTATATCTGTGGCGATGGCATATGAAAATATATCATTAACATCAATATCTTTTATATTCCATTAGAAACGTAATTGATTGAAATTTGGAAATTATCGGCGTTTCTATCTTTATCTGCAAACACATATTTGATTTAGTACGTGCACCATTGAATCAAACGATGTACTTTATTGCAATGATATTATCTAATGTCACTACACATTTATCGATTAGCTGCATTTTTGGCATATTTAGATCTTAAAATATGATGCATCCATTTTTTTATTTTCATGTGGTAAATACTTTTAATTTGAACACAAAATCATGTGTACTCATGCAAACACAATTTCTTAATGGGTGTTTATGCATTTGCTTCTACAGTTTTACTCTTGAGAAGTAGTTTATTTTAGAGATTATATGGAAATGTGTTAGTAGTACAAGTTGATAATGTTTAAAAAGAAAATTTAATTTTTAAAAAATTGAAAGTTTTTATTCGTTAAATTTTGTGTAATAGAAAAGATGATGAAGAGTAGTTTAAAGCACCCTTTGATTGTAGGTCTTAGCTCAAAGTGATTCGTTTTAGAAAGACTTTCCCAAAACACTACTTTAACTTTTAAAAGCAAAAGGTTTAAAAAATACTATATAAACACTTCTTTATACATGACACTTATTTTTCCTTAAAAAAATACACGATAAATAAACGTTATCTTTTTATTTATCGAATGCATCAAAGCTTTCAAATTGATGCAATGAATCTCTATCACACACACACACACACACACACACACATATATATATATATAAAGGAGTAAGATTCTCAAATGAGTTCTACTACTATTCGTGCCCAAAGAGGTTACTGGGGTCAAATTACAAGTTATGAGAATGAGGCCATACACAGCTTATATGTTATACATATTAATATATTATTTTATAAGAGATATGCAACTCGTATGCACATTAAGATGTTAATTGAATTGTGATTACTCATAATATGTGCAACAAGTATGAGTTGATAATTGATTTGAACAAGTACTCTCATTCGAGATGAAATATAGTATAGCCATAATACTTTTTTTATAATCACATCATATCTAATCATCCATTTATATGGTCAAATAATTATAATAATCATTTATGAGAGGAGTGCAACTCGTATACATTATATTAGTAAGATGTTATAATTATAAATAAAGCACATATCAATAAGTTGGTGCAATACAATCATTAGTAAGGAGTTCCATAGGTGGTGATATAACAAACACACATATTTATGTACATGTGTGTGCATGTTCACACACATACATACACTTATATTTTTATATGGTCCATAGTGGAGTTAAGAATTAAAATTTCACATTTATTCTCGAATAATAGGGGCACCATTGTCAAATCACATTTTAGTAATTACAGCCTACCAAATCATGATGGTTTACAAGAGTGGTACGATTCTTATGTTATATTGTTGTACTAATTATGACATACTAATAATAGATGCATATATTAGTTGGTCATTTTGTAAACAAATTGTCGTGGCTTTCTAATCATGGTATACTAATAATAGGTGCAGTCTAGCCATTTTATAAGCGACGTTGTCTTCAAGTGTGTGCGCGTTCATGGTACTTTTATATGATAATATATTTTTTTTAAATGTGGTTGGAACTTAAATTATACAAACATTTAAAATAATTAGTTAATATGTCATTTCATGAGAGACGTGCAACACTGTACAATATACTTATGTGATAGTTATTGTATGTACAAATAATAGATGCTCACGTAATAAGCAATTTCGTATATAGCGTATCTCTATGTTATATATTTATGCGCGCGCGCGCACACACACACACACATATATGTGTGTGTGTGTGTGTGTGTGTGTGTGTTATGTATGTATGTATGTTTGTATAGACACATTACACATACATTGCAAATAAATACTCTATGTAAATGAGAATGCATCTAAACTATTAATGTGAATGTAATTATGATTACATGTTATTACAATCATTAGTCTATATTTTGATTTGACAAACTCTAACATCATTTTAGATACCCATTATAATCTATATAGTACTTTGGAATTTCAAAATCATTGCACCTAATGAATTATATATATTTTATAATTAGTATGTAGTATAGCTTTTCTCCTTCGGACTCAACCTTATCTATATATAAATGCACACATATACACACATAAAATTATATTTATAAAGTGCTACATATAAAATTATAAAGTTTGGTAATGCTTTCTAAGCTTTTGTCTTCGTTAGCAATTTATTAAGGTGTACACACATCAAAACATTAAAGTTAGAAAACAATATACGAAGTTACAAAGTGTATCAATAGTGACTATTATTGGTATTGATTGAAAGGTGCCTACTTTTCTTTTAGCAGTCAACATGAAAACACATATTTTACTAAAAAATAATTAAATATTTATGACTAACATAAAAAATATTTACATAAATGTGACATGTTAGGTATGGTGACTACAATATTGACTTTTAATGTCTATATTTATGTTCAATTTTTACATTTAGGTGACATGACACTATACTCATAATAAGTTTAGTCATATTTAAGCAAATATGTTTTTATATAATATTTTTGAAATAACCTCAAAAATTAAACCGCAATGATGATATTGATACAGATCAATTGCAAATACAATATCATGATTTGCATAAAAAGGAAAATTTTTTCATTGTATGATGTCAATATGTAAATGAATTTAATATTATGATATTATGTCATTGCATTTAAAAATTAGTGTTGCTATGATTAATTTTAATGTTTGATTTATTCATCAAGGAATCAATATATAACTCTAATGTATAATTTCATTTAGCAAAAAAAGTATGACTTCAATATAAACCAATTGCAACAACAATATTGTTCATGGTATCAATAAAAAAGATTACTTGATCCATTGATGAATAAACATAGAAAATGTCATTGCATTGAGAAATCAAAATGAAAATATATATTTTATAATAACCAAGCAAGTGTCATTACTAATATTATTGTTTGTGCTAATAAAGAAATGGTTGTTTTACTCGTTAAATAACCAACGTAAAAAAATACTTGAATTATGTTACCATGGAATTAAAATTGAGAGGGCAGGTTCTAAGCATAACTCATTTCATAAGTGATGTTATTATAGTAAATTATGAAAACTAATTTCATTTCTTATACATACTAAACTTGCTTGCTTCCCAACACATTGATGACATAGTATACAAGTCAACGCAAATTATGCTATATTTCACGTATTATATCTATTTGTTTTTATTTCATTTTAATTCATTAATTTTATATTTTACAATTTTTTATTATTATTTAACATGTGTCGTAAATCATATCAATTATTGATTTGATTTTTATTTATATTTTTATAAAAAAATTGTACTACAAATATATGCCGCATTGACTACTAAAGTTTATCTCAAATGTATTAACTATGTAATTATGTAAATGGAAATTAATAAATTGTGTAAAGTTTTGGAGTAGGATTGAACTTCGGAGGAATGCTTGGTGTACCCCAAATTTATACACAAAGTGTACACTGTCTGTGTACACATGCATTTTGACATAAAATTCTGCTCCTTTTCAAACAAATTGACTGTGTACATAGATAACTAGGGGTGGTACAAATTGGGGTACATATATCATTTGTGTTGAACTTTAAGTTTCCCCTACACAATTGTAAAAATTGGCATTATTTGGCATTGATATGGTATCGTACTGTCTTGTTTGACGTATAATGGAACGATACCGAATGAGTTTAGATCTAAGACCAAACTGAACTGAACCGTTTTAATAATCACGATACGGGTGCTGGTTCGGCAAAATATTGAAACGTCTCAGACCATGCCCAACCTATAAAAAAATACTTAAACATCCCTATTTTCTAACATTTTATCTTTTCTTTCATACTTGTCCACCCTTATCATACTTTTTACACTATTAATTATCCATATTACCTTTCCCTAGCAAACATTTTCTTGAAAGATAAAAAAAAAAATCTGAAAAGTGATTCACTCCATATTTTTGAAGGAGTTCTAAACTGAGTGGAAAACCACCTGAGCCTGAACACTTGTATCGTTACTAACCGAACTTTCGTTTTTCCTGACAGCCTCCATCGTTCCTATCGAACTACTGCTTCAGTGCTTCTATAAGTACCCCCATCGCTCTTACACTCTCCCATCTCTATCTCCTCTGCATCTCACCCCTCCCCCAAAATATCCCCTGACCCCGCCGGAGCTCCTCCTCGTATCCTACATTGTCCAAGGTGGTTCTCGCTTGTGCCTGGCTCTTCTCGTCTTTGTCGCCCGATTCCCCTCCCCAGTGTTTCCTTTTTTCATAATTGTATCTTAATCATCTTCTCTTTCGGTTGTGGGTGATGTTTTGACAGTTTTGTATCTGAATAGAGACATTCTTTAGCTCAATTATACTTCTCACTCACTAATCATCGTCGTTGCCAAAAAACCAATGCTTAAGGTTTAGTGTTGATTCGAATGAACCTAATGCTTTATTCGGATAAGTGAATTTAAAGTTGAATGTTGGTTGATCATATGTTTTCTTAGGGTTATTCTAATTTCTACACATGTTACATGGTTTTATGAGCACATGCACATTTATACACATACACTTCCAATTTGAGACATGATAACTTTGTCTGCATTCTTCTAGGGGAAAGCTAAATGGGTCCCTACATAATCGGTGTCCTTGTTCCTCTAGCAATTACAACTCTTCTCCTTCGAAATTCAAACAACAGGAAGAAGAAACGCGGTCTCCTTGTTGATGTGGGTGATGGGGATCCGGGTTATACTATCAGGAACCATAGGTTTACTTCCCTAGTGGAAACATCATGGGATGGAGTGACTACTCTTGCTGAGCTTTTTGAATATGCTTGCAAAAAGTATTATGAAAAAAACTTGCTTGGGACCAGAAGACTTGTCTCCAAAGAAATGGAGACATCCTCGGATGGAAGATCTTTTGAGAAGCTTCATTTGGGGGGTTATGAGTGGTTGACTTATGGACAGGCTTTCAAGTTTGTGTGTAACCTCTCATCCGGGTTAGTGCATATGGGGCATGAAAAGGAAGAAAGGTTAGCCATTTTTGCAGATACATGTGGGGAATGGTTAATTGCACTTCAGGTACATATTTCTTTTGCAGGAAACAATATACCTTTATTCCCCTTTACAGCTTAAAATTATTCCCTGTACCTTAAGTTGAGGCATGTGTTTTGTCTTGCATTTCATGGGTGGCATTTTGGTCTTGCAACTAAAAACCTGCAACTTCAGGATTTCTTTCACCCTGTTTCACTTTATCCACTAAAAGTGTGCAATTTTAGTTGACATATTAATAAATATAAACAAAGAATTCCACGTATGGAGCATCTAAAATTGTCTAGTAGGACTGTTTGCTGAAAGATTGCCAAAGTCCCATGAAAGTTTTTTAGTTTGGTGTTTTGCTTTTATTTTGATTCTCCATTGTTGCACATCAGCTAGGACTGCCAGAATCATGTTAACTCCCCCAGTTATATCTCACGTGCATGGACATGTTAGTTTTTGTGACAAATTAATTGAAATCCATCAAAAAAGTCTATAAATCTGCATGTGAAAATACAAGACTAAAAGATCTACCCATAAGTTACAAGACTAAAGTATTCACACTTATGATCTTATGCTGTCACGGGGATGCTTTGACGGTGAGCATTAATTTTATTGATGATTTCCATGCTTCAGGCTTGCTTTAGGCGCAATGTGACTGTGGTAACTATTTATGCATCTTTGGGGGAAGAGGCCCTCTGCTACTCTCTAAATGAGGTATCTTTCCCTCTTTAATTTACTTTTACTTCTGGTTTTAGTTAAAATATATGCAAGAATGTCCTGCAATAAGGAAAAGTCTAATACGAGGTCATCTGTTATTTACTTGCCACATATGTGCAAATTACCTTTTATATTTGAGAATCAGTATCATTTACTTGAGTTAGATTATATGGTGGATACCTTGATCTCCCTCACTCGCTGTAACTAACTACTGAATAATCACTTTAATACCTTCTAAAACACAATATATAATTTCTCTTTCTTATTTTGTTTATATGCCGTTTCAACAAAGATCCAGATGTTTCTCTTTTAAGCCTGAGTGCTCTCGAGTTCATATTTCAGTTTGTAATACTTATCATATTTTTTCAGACAGAGGTTACAACTGTAATTTGTGGACAAAAGGAACTGAAGAAGCTTATTGACATTGGTGGGCAGCTTGATACAGTGAAGCGCATTATAGTAATGGAAAATGATATTTCATTGAATGAATCAACAGTTACTGGAAACTCAAGCTGGGTGATATCATCCTTTTTCGAGGTTGAGAAGCTTGGACGGGAAAATCCCGTTGAGCCCGAGTTACCTCTTGCTTCTGATGTTGCTGTGATAATGTATACCAGTGGAAGCACTGGTTTGCCTAAGGTATATGAATCTTATCTCTTAGGCTATGTAACTATGTTTAAAAGTTAAAACACAAAGAATTGTATGGAATGGGAAAATGTTACTTGCATTTTTTTTCAAAGCTTTGTTGCACAATGATAAAGAAGAAATAAGACATATTTTTAGAATTTCACATACATTTAGGTTTTTGTTCTTTTAAATAGTAGAAACATGAAAATAAATTGGTTTGATCAAATATCCAAAATTGATTATTTATATTCCCCATATTTTTATGTACTCACCTTATTTTCTTTTCCTAGCATTTTCCGGGTTTCCAATGGACCCTCAGTTTAGAATTAAATTTGTGAAAGTTAAATCAGTTTAATGTTGTCCGTACAACAAGTGCATTTTAACGCGTATTAATTTTTAAGTTGAGATTTAAGCAACATATGACATGCATTTATTTTTGGTAATGATATAACTCAACCATGTAAATCTCTCTATTGTCATTAATTTGATTTATTGATTAACATGCTTTGATAATAAGGAAAAATGGTATGATAGAAGTATAGAACTAGAGATATAGTTGATAGCTTCTTAAATAATCTCTATTCTCTATTTGATAGTCCTCTTTTGGCTAGGTTCGTTTCATTAATGCACCTGTTTAATGTATGATTCTCTGAGTTTTTTGAATATCTTTATTAAGCTTCCACTTCTATCTTATCAATTGACTAATAATACTTTGCCCGTTGCAGGGTGTGATGATGACACACAGGAATGTTCTAGCAACGGCTTCTGGTGTTATGACAATTGTTCCTGAGCTTGGAAGCAAAGATGTCTACTTAGCATACCTTCCTCTTGCTCACATTCTAGAATTAGCAGCAGAGGTAAAATGGATTTAACATGCATCCATATGATTGAATATTTTCATCTTCTGTGATCTTTGTTATTTTGGTGGCATAGCCCAAATGAGCAATTCAGTCTTAAAAAGGAACACACAGCAAGTTGGTCTCTTCTAAGGAGCAACCCTTTTGCGAGGGTCATTCCATTTCAGTACATATAAAATACAAATGGACATACATGATTTTTTTACACTTTCCTATAAGGTTATACTTTAACGATGAAATTCAAGTTCTAAGCATTTGGAACAATTTTCAACTAATTAAGACTGTAATGCAGACTATTATACCGGGAATTGGAGGCTCTATAGGATATGGTTCTCCTTTAACACTTACTGATACTTCAAATAAGATAATGAAGGGAACAAAAGGAGATGCTTCCGCATTAAGGCCGACCATAATGGCTGCTGTTCCAGCAATTCTTGACCGTGTTCGAGATGGTGTGAGAAAGAAGGTATATGAAACTCTCAGACATATTTACAAAGGCTATATGCAATTATGCATACTTAGGGCTCATTTCTTAAGACTCAAGAGTTATTTGACTGAAAGTTGCTGAATTCGCTGAAATGGAGAGGTGTCTGGAACATACATATCAATTAAATAAGTAAGGCATAACAACCTACATATAAGCATATTACGCTGCTGATAAGCATCATCTGCCAATAATGGCTACCATATAGAGCCTTATTATTGCTCATGCTTTCATAATATATGAGAATCATAATATTTCAATTTTCAACTTGTAACAATCTGGTGGAACTTCAGGTAAATGCCAAAGGAGGTCTAGCAAAGGCATTGTTTGATTTAGCATATGCGCGTAGGTTGTCTGCACTCAATGGCAGTTGGTTTGGTGGGTGGGGATTGGAGAGGATGTTGTGGAACTTTCTAGTGTTCCGAAATGTTCGGGCAGTTTTAGGTGGACGTATTCGTTTCATATTATCAGGCGGGGCTCCTCTTTCTGGAGATACTCAAAGATTCATTAACATATGTCTCAGGTTCGTGCAATTGATATTAATTAACTTTATAATACACATGCTAGCCAGGAATTCTGAAATCACACAGCCATTTTAGCAACTTCACACTTTTTTACATTATATTTGTTCTCTCAGTTATAAAACTTTGGTAGTCAATTAAAATATTAAAAACGGGTCTTCTTAAATGGGAATTTAATGGATTCAAGGATTTGGTAGTTGGTAGATAGGTTATATATCCATTAGATGAAAATTATTCATTTAGGATGCAAATGATTGAAACTGTCAATCTAAAAATAATAATGAAGCTTTGATTTTTTTATTTATTTCATGATAGCTTTCATTGAAAATTTCTTCATGGATTGTACATTAAACATATGAATGATTTATTAATAATTATGTGAAAAATTAACAGTATTTCAATAATTCAGATCCTTATTTGATAGATCTTGATTTAATTAAACTCCTTTATCTTTACATTTAGTCTATCAATTACAAAACAATGACAAACAGCTTTTTTCCCTTTACTTTTACTGTATAAAGTTAAAAGCATTTCAATTTGGTCTTTTCTCTGATGATATTGGTCCAACATTATTTTTTCATACCCCCACCTTATATTGATGCAAGTATCGACTACATTTCCAGCTAGTGTTGTAATTTATATTCTTGCACTTTTATTTTTCCCGATATCAGTGCTCCCATTGGTCAAGGGTATGGTCTCACGGAGACATGTGCTGGTGGTTCTTTTAGTGAATATGATGATACATCCGTTGGTCGCGTCGGTGCGCCATTGCCGTGCTCATACATCAAGGTACTAACATAAAATGTTTGTTATTGGCATAGGAGTTTTCTCCAAGTATTGTTTTATTCATATTTTCACTTTTTTCCCTTCTAATTACTCCCTCCGTCCCATATTTATCTTCGTAGTTCGGTTTATGATGCTTGACTGACGATAAAGTAACTTGATCCCTGTTCACACTCAGATTATTTTTAGTAAATTAAATTTACATATTCAGAAACTATATTAAATCCGCTACAAAGTCTGATCAAGAAAATTTAAGTTTGATAAAAATTTGATATATAAAGTAAAAGATTAAGAGTAATTTGAGTTGACCATGTGAATAGTAAGTATGAAGATAAATATGGGACAGAGGGAGTAATATATTGTATTGCTTTTTGTATGTGTTTATCTAATGATGAGTGTTCCACACACATGGGTTAGAATCTAGTATATGAGTATATCAAGTATGAGGTAAATAGTAAACCTCATATCTGGGATCTTGAGGGGCCTTTTGGGGTGTATTAGATCCAACTTGACATGGTATCAAAGTATGGTCTATGGTAGTATGGTTGGCTATGGGGTGCCCCCACCCGATAGTTTAGGTGATCTCTTTGGGGGCTAGTTTTGGTCCATTTGTTTACACTTTCAGCTGTGCAACCTGACATGGCTTTGTGGGTGATATATACCCACAGACGATTCTCTTCTGGCTTTGAGGAGTCTAGGACTTGATAAAAAGATCCTCAAACCAAAACCCTTCAAAGCTGTAGATCAAAATTGAAAATCATCTATATGTGCTTCGGTTGTTGCTTTTAGGTTTAGGCTATGAAAATCTATTAAACCAACCAAACTAGGCTCGTATCAACGAAAACCGCGTGGAACCAAAAACTGAAACCGACCAAAGAACACCCATATTTGGGTGTACCATATAAACTTGAGATCCATTTTGGGCAAGTTAAGTCCAGTTTAACTTCTATTATTTGGTTGTTTACAGTTTGATTATTTACAAACTGATTCTGTTACATGATTGGCTCTTTTTCTGAAATTTAGTTGATAGATTGGCCCGAGGGAGGATACCGAACAAGTGATTCACCAATGCCTCGTGGAGAGATTGTTATAGGCGGGCCAAATGTCACCCTTGGGTACTTCAAAAATGAAGAAAAAACAAAAGAAGTCTACAAGGTACTGTTTCTAGTCCTTTGTGGCATCACCTTTTAACCCTTGATGTTGGTTGGATGATTGATTATGCCTATTTTTTACCCTTGTAAGGTTGATGAGAGAGGGATGAGATGGTTTTTCACTGGTGATATAGGGCAGTTTCACAATGATGGCTGCCTTGAGATTATTGACCGCAAAAAAGATATCGTGAAACTTCAGCATGGTGAATATGTTTCTCTGGGCAAGGTGCACTGTTTTTTTCTGTACTATATTACCCATATTTTTAAGTCTCCATTTGATTTATTGTTATTTTCACCTGCCTTCCTCAAAGTATGGTCATATATTCTATAATTTTCAATGTTAAAATGGTCGTTTACCAAAAAACTGACTGGTAAAGCCGTAAAGGAGTTCTTTTGTAATACTAAACCTCTTGGGAGGTAGATGTAACTAAACAATAGGGTCATAATTGGACTATAATATTATTTCGTATATTCCAGTTTTTGTTGTTTTTAGGCAGCAGATAGCATTACATGAAGGATAACATCTTCCTGGGTTTATTTTACAATTGCTTAGAAAATCATTTCCTCGGTAAAAAAAAAGACATTTTCCTGTTTGTGGCTTGATTTTCTGGCTTATGTTTTTCTTATTTGATTGTTTGGATTTTGAAGAAACTTTAGTGAAGGAAAATGCAAAGAAAGTCCCTCTTAGGACTTTTTCATTTGGACTGAAATTTATTGGACGAGTCTGAACTAATATGACATGAACTAGTCTATTTCAGTTTGATTTCTTTAAGTCTGGTCTGTTTACTCGTCTGGTATATTTGTATGTTTGTTTTCATTACTGCCAACGGTCTGGTTTGGTCTAGTTTGTGATTGAAATGTGTCGAAATGAACAAGTTAATTTTAGTTTTACATGGGAAAATGCAAAGAAAATGAAATATAAATTACCAATGGTAAAAATTATCTTTTAGGTTGAGGCGGCTCTATCTACCAGCCAGTATGTTGACAATATAATGGTGCATGCGGATCCCTTCCACAGTTACTGTGTAGCTCTGGTGGTGGCTGCACAGTCCGCTTTGGAGGACTGGGCTGCAATGCTTGGAATTCAGTTTGTAGATTTCTCAGACTTGTGCACTAAGGTTGAGACGATGAAAGAGGTCTACACTTCACTTGTTAAGGTATTGTTTTTGTCGTTGTGCTTGTTTCAAGAAATGGTCCTTTGGACATTAGGATAGTTCCCATCTTCTTTTGTCAACTTCAAATAAAATTGTACGGGGTATTGATTATGTTATGCTATTATGGTATTATTATTATTTGTATATGAAAAGATTCCACTTTGGTCCCCCAACTACTACATCTTTTATTCTTTTTAGAATAACTTATTTTTTTCTTCTCTAAAAGGGAACTTGCTAGAGGAGGGAGTAAACATTCTGTTTGCTCCACATATATTCAGATGTTTTAAATCATTAATGTCTGCAAAATAGAGCTAAGATAGTTCTTATTTTGTCTTTCCATATATAGGCAGCAAAGGGTGCCCGCTTGGAGAAGTTTGAGATTCCAGCAAAAATAAAACTGATTTCTGAGCCGTGGACTCCAGAGTCCGGCCTAGTCACCGCTGCGCTCAAACTCAAGAGAGATGTCATCCGGAAGACTTTCTCTGAGGATCTTTCAAAGCTATACTCATCCTGATTTCGTAGCGATCTTTTCTTCATATCAGAAGTGTCTGTATGTGGTTTATTTTCTGTGGTTTAAATATTTCTTTGTATAACATTTGTTTATTGTTTTTTCATAATCTCCTGTGTCATTTACCTTTGTAAAAAAACATAAACAAATCTGTGTCTGTCAATTAGTTTTATAGAGTAATAAAGCTAAGTTCTTTAGTTTATTCTGTTTACGAAGTTGATGTTCTTGGTGGGATGTCAAAAGAAATGAGTATACTGTTTAAAAGAAATGAGTATTAGTATTAAACTATAAAATTAACACAATAAATATTTTGATGACAATACAATGATAATATAGTTAAATGAATGAATTGATTTGTTGCATATATATTACGTGTATATCATGATACCTAGTTGTATGTTTCTCATACTCAAAATTGTGCTATCAATACAGTGATTAGTACTAATACCCATTCCTTTTAAATTGTATATTAATTTCTTTTAATACTCCCTCCAGTCCCTATTAAAGTTCTCACTTTCCTTTTTGGGATGTCCTTTATTTAAGTTCACACTTCCATTGTAGGAAACAAAACAGTGTCAAACAGTGTCCAAACAGTGCCAAACAGTGCACTTCACAGTAAAGTCAAATTTATTTTCTTAATCTGTGTGAAGTCAAACTGGGAACTTTAATAGGGACCGGAGGGAGTATAAAATATGTGGTTGTACCGTGTGCATGGTACAATGGGGTTGTACGGTGCATATAGGGGTGGATTGGGACGGGTCGGCCCGACCCGGGACCCGGTCCGGTACTGTGCAGTCTCGACCTTACCCGTCGGGCGGTACCGGGGGCCCGAATCGGGGGTTAAATGAGGCGGGCTTCGAGCTACTGAAATGGTGGACCGGTCCGGGATTTCGGGCCCAATTGTTTGTTTTTGTTTTTCCCATTGATTGGCTGCTAGGTGGGTGGGGTTGGGTGATTTGGGGGTGGGGTAGGAATAAATTTGAAAAGCCATTTTTTTTTTTAAAAAATTGTAACCGACTTGAGCCGGGCCCGGCCCTGATCCGCCCAATCCGTCCCGGGTCCCGGCCCGGGTCCGGTCCATCCCTAGGTGTAGGCTCTCGAATCTCGATTAATATCCGGTGCTTGGTTTTCTAGCAACATAAAGTGAAAGCATTTTTGATAGGGACATACCTTACAAGTTTGTTTATTTTGTTTATTTTTCATTTCAATGAGAGGGGGGAGAACTTAATGGCTATAATAATAATTGCAATTTGTTGGAAGAGTTAAATCTATTGATCTATAAAAACAATAATAATCTTTTGGGTAGGCATGGATCCGATCGTGAAGAATGTTTTGTGAAGCTCGGGCCCGACCCAAATATAAAGGGTCTCGGTTCAAGGTGCCCGAGTAACCCGACCAGTCCCGAACCAATTCCACCCATTTTAGTTTTTAAATTACGGTCATTTAATAATATTAAATTAATACAAACAAAAAACTACACATTGAAAAGGAAACATAAGTTTATTTGAAACATTGAATTGACTTGTACTAGCACGTTACAAATTTGTGTGTAAGAAACTAAATGCTAAAATGAAAATGTAGATAATAATACCAAGTACTAGCACGTTACAAATTTGCTACTCTTCGGAACTCCCACTTCCCTAATCGGTTGTTGTTTCCTCCATAAAATGGTGAGTCGGTGCTATCTTTAGTTTTCGAGTTCATCGTCGGGCGTTCGACCAATCGTGGAAACACACAAGCGTCTCAAGAGATTGCATGCTCAATCTCGTTCTATAATTGATTAGAAAGTTCACGGTTTCATTAAACTCTTGTTCCACGACAACCATTAAACATGCATGGATAGGACTTGTTTCTTCATTGTTGATAAAACCGTAAACATTGCTTCTTTATCCTTCCACTGTTTGAGAATGTTTGATATAAAGAAAATTTGTTAATCGAGCTTTGTGTAACGCTAGAAATTGACTTAGTTATTTTCAAAAGATTAGATATTATTGATTTAAAACGACGCTTTCCTTTAGATGAAGAAACAACTTGCTTTGGGGAAGAGGGTACCAACGAATAGACAAATCTTTAGAAAAAAACACAATACCTAACACGTTGAGATTTCAAATAAGCACGTCATTGTTATTTAAGTGTTGTACTACCCCCCATACAAGTTCAACACACCCTTTAATGTTATCCATCACATTTCATAATGCGACTAGGTCGTCTTTAACACATAAATTAATAATATGACGTGCACATCGTTGATGAAAAAATCTTCTCATCAAAATAGATGGACCACATAATTCACGTAATCTAGTTATATCAACACTATTATTAGTAGCATCATCAAAACCAATAGCAAACACCTTATCAATGAAATTAAATTCAGTTAAAATACGTTCTGTGATAATATAAACATTATTACTGATATGTTTCTCATTAAAATTTGTAAAAACGATATCTCTTTCATGCATCATCCAACCATCATCAATAAAATGTACAGTCACACCCAAATAATACAAGTGATGATATATCACTACAAACAGTCACACGTCCACGAAAATTTTCAAAACAATTAATTACGTTTCGCTTTTCCAAATTATATTGTTTAATAACTTCCCTTTCAGTGGTTTCTCAGCTATAGTTTCAAAAATGTGGATTTAAATAACCTTGAGCATAAGCACGTAAAGTAAGACTTTCAGAAAAAATATAAGACAAATTTTCTTCACATATTAATTCACACACAACTTTCAAATTAAATCTTCATCATTATATTATAAACAAAATTACCAAAAGGTTGAGAAGTTGCAAATCTCGAAATTTGAGTTTGCATGCTCTTGCCCTTCGTCCTTGCCGCCTCTACAGGGTGTCTTGAATTCAAGTGCCTACTCACAGTGTCGTAAGCCCGTAACCCCCAACGTCCACATGCACAATCTTTGGGGACAATAGCGGCATTGTGCGTACAACTTCCTGTCCAACGGATCCTTTATCATATCAAAATGAAATTTAAAAAGATGAGAACGTAATTTTATTGTCTTATCTTCGTTGGGTTGTGTGGATGAACCGATGCCACTCCATTGCTACTCCTCGGGGGGGGGGGGGGGGGAGGTATCGCCATGTTCTTGCTCCTCCTCCACCGATTGCTCGTTCTCGACGTCATCGTCCTCCAACTCTTCGTCAAGATGATATCCTAGGGTTTGACATTTTGAAATGCGACTAATATTAAAATGTGGCTAATATTAAAATATAAAAAATATTAAGATGTGACTGATATTAAATTGTGACTAATATTTAAATGTGACTAATATAAAAATGTAACACGTAACAAATATTAAGATGTGGCTAATATTAAAATATGACTAATATAAAAATGTGACTCATCTTAAAATTTCCTAACTAATACTAAAATGTGACTAATATTATAATGTAACAAATATATATTAAGATGTGATCGGCTAATAATAAAATGTAGGTAATATTTAAGTGTAACTAATATTAAAATGTAATCCGGGACCGGGTACGCCATATACTCGATCGGGTATCAGTCTTAGCCCGAGACCGAAAAAGAGACCCGGTTCGGTCCCAACCCGTACTGGACCCGGTTCCGGACCAGGTCAGACCACCAGACTGTGTCCATGCCTAATTTTGAGGGAGATATTTTTATAAGAGAAGATGCCAAGATTTTGTTTTTGTACAAGTCACTTACCTTCGATCTATAGATAATGCTGTTATTGATTTATGTGTCTGAGCACGTGATATTATGTGGTATAATAAAATTTTCTTTGTTACTTTTTCTTCGACATGTTCCATTTCCTGGTCAACAAACAAACCTTCAATTCATCAGTTAATTCTCCCATCAATAAAGAGATAAAACAGTTGCATGGAGAGTTTTTCTCAAAATGAGAGAAATTTTCTCATCTGAATTCTGAAAACTAAAGAAACATCAACATTCTCTCCTTTAGGACAAAAAACAAAATGAAATTGAACCAAAAGCTTACCTAAAAAATCCCAACCTGAAGATGACAGGAGGGGGAAGAGGAAAGATGAAGAAAACATCTTCAAAGCCAACAATGAATGTCCTACCATACCAAACTCCAAGGCTGAGGGACCATTATAACCTCGGTAAGAAGCTAGGCCAGGGGCAATTCGGGACAACATACCAATGCACAGAAAAAGCCACAGGGCTTGAATATGCATGCAAAACAATCCCAAAGAGGAAGCTATTGTGCAAAGAGGATTATGAGGATGTTTGGAGGGAGATCCAAATAATGCACCACTTGTCGGAGCACCCGAACGTCGTTAGGATCAAAGGGACATACGAAGACAATGTGTTTGTCCACTTGGTCATGGAGCTATGCAAAGGGGGCGAGCTCTTTGATAGGATTGTTGCAAAGGGACATTATAGCGAGAAGAAAGCCGCCGTGTTGATGAAAACGATAGCGGGAGTTGTCGAGGCGTGTCATTCGCTCGGTGTCATGCATAGAGACCTTAAGCCTGAAAATTTCCTCTTTGATAGCCCCGATGAGGATGCCAAGCTTAAGTCCACCGATTTCGGGTTGTCCGTGTTCTTCAAGCCCGGTATGTTCGTGTTTGTCTACTTCCTCTAATATGTTGATTTGTATTTTTATATTTGACCGGTGTAGGATGACTTAACACTTTATGTCATTTCGAGTTTAAGTAAATTAAGTGCAACACCATAAACAAGTTGTTGAATGATTCTTAGTTAACAAGTTGTCTAACATAGCCAAATATAAAGATACAAACAACAATATAAGGCATTGCCCATTCCTCATCTTTAAACCTGAGAACTTTCTAACATACTATTTGGCTTTTGGTTCAGGGCAGTACCTTTCTGATGTTGTAGGAAGTCCATATTATGTTGCACCAGAAGTACTCCAAAAGCACTATGGAACTGAAATTGATGTGTGGAGTGCTGGTGTTATTCTTTACATTTTATTATCAGGGGTTCCTCCATTTTGGGCAGGTAATTATTTTTTGATAAATCTAAACAATGAATGGAAACTTTAATGCAAAATGGTTTCTTGTAATAAAGAAATAATATGGAGCAATAATAATAATAATAAATGTACTTGCAGAAACGGATAACGGGATCTTCAAGCAGATTTTGAAAGGCAAATTAGATTTTGAATCTGATCCCTGGCCATCCATTTCAGACAGTGCAAAGGACTTGATAAAAAAGATGCTCCACCGTGACCCCAAGAAGCGAATAACCGCTCACGAGGTCTTAAGTAAGTTTCCCT